TCCCGTGTGACAGGCGCAAGCGCCAGTGCCACTGCTCGCTGCGCTGGAGCGCACGGGGAAGGCCGAGGGCCTTGTCGTTGTAAAGAGGAGAAAGATCCGAGGGTTTCATTACACAGTCGCTATCTATAGAAATATTAACCTGGACTGCGGGCTGTTTTGCTTATAGTCCAGGAGCGTTTTTGCTAATGTACCATCGCACGCGGGATTCCTCCACCGCGGGTCGCCTCGCGCTGCAGGCCAGCCTCACGTCGGCCGCCGCACGCTCATGCGCGCGTGTGCGTTGCGTCGCGTGGGCCGCGTTGGGCCAAAATTAGTTTAGTTTTTTTCGTGGAGAATAGAAATAGCTTTTCATTTTAATTCTGAGCTAAACTTTGGTAATTAATATAAAATAATGTAGCTATCAAAAAATTGTGAAATAAATTTTGTTAAGTTCCTAAAATTGTGCTTTATCTGTTAGTGTATTTAGTTCATATATATACATGTTGAAACCAGGAGCTATTAAATCATTTGAGAGTGCTTAATATTATTAGGTTAAATATTGTAGGAATTTTTGTGGCAAAAGGGTGATGGCTCTAGCTTTAAAAATTTTACAGTAGGTCCATTGTATTATTATGTGCTCACTGTAATTTTTATAGCCCTAAAATAGACTATTTAATATGGTAGCTAAATACCCATTAAGGCTAAACGAATAATGGCATGATATTGGTTTATAAAAATTAAGCACTTGTAGGGTGAGCTAGGAATCAATTTGGTAGAGATAATGATTAGCTTAGTACCTTAGTCATTAGAGCTAGCTTAGTAGCTTAGCAAGTGTATTCTTATTTTATGGGTTGCTGTTGCTAAAATGCTAAGTGTTGCATCATCATCGCATGCATGTAGAGAACGAGTTGGCAGAGATCGTGACCATCGAAAATCATAAGTTTGAGGAGGTGATCGAGGAGTATGAGGAGGAGGTCCTCATGTAGGAGGAGGTCCTAGAGCCGCCACGGACTGACTGAGCTGACACCCCGCCTGCCCAAGACAAGCCCCGATGCATAACCCTTATTTTGAATAATCACTGGATATATATATATATATGATGTGCATTTACATTACAGGCTTATTGTTGAAACTACATGCATAGATATACCTACCTATGAGTCCTACTAGCTTAGGTCGAGTAGCTGCTATGCTTAGACTATCGGTAGCATGAGTAACCTGCCATTACTCACAATAGGTGATTATTATTATCACTCTCATAATAAAATAGTGAAAAGAAATGGAGATCGGGTATGGATATGGTACGGGTATTGGTGGGTGTAAGAGGTTGTGTCCCGTGACCAACGGGGCATAACTTGGTTACACTGTTTTCCTAGTCCGTGTCGATTAAGTACCGACCGTTGTATTGGATTCTAGTCAGGTCATAGACTTATTATTATGAGCACATACTTGGTTATGGGAGCGGAAAGGCTCGTTGCTCTCTTGTCGTGGGCTCTGGCTCTTTTCGGACCGACTGATTGGAGGGGGGATGGTGGAGGTCTAAGCACCACACTGAGTTCATGACTCAGGTGTGGGGTCTTGGAGTCCAAGTTTAGACGGGGATCTGAACCTCTTGATAGGAGAGTGGTGGGTTGATCCTGCTTGTGCCTAGGGTACAAGCGGGGCGTGTGTTTCGGGGTACCCAACTAGGCTACATTAATTCATGAATCGCCATGTAATACGGTATGACTTGTCTACGATCTAGCACCGTAGTAAGAACTGGAAGATGAAAGATGGTGAAATGGATTTGATTGCTCAACTCTTACTTGAAAGTAGAACAGGTGTTTACATATAATGGTTAGGTAATGAACTAATCATGACTGCTAATAAAACATACATAAGGATTCACTACTAGTAATGCTTTTTGCAAAAAAGAAACCCAGCTAACTATAAAGCCTATCATATTCTTTGGAGTCGGGAAAGTATTCCCACTAGTCGAGTAAGTCTTGTGAGTACATTGTGTACTCAGGGTTTATTTACCCCTGTTGCAGGTGCAGCTTGAGGAATGGTTGTTGTGTGGAGGATTCTTCTGGTAGGCACAGACGGATCATTGTATCTTATCGTTAGATGTTTAATTTAATTCCGCTGTTAATTCCGCACTCTGAACTTGGTATTGTAATAATGTATTTCTAAGAACTCTTATTGTATGAAATGGACTAAGTATTATAAACTTGTTCTCATTATTGGACCCTGGAGGAAAACGTGGATTGTTCGAGTTCTTCTTTGGGGTGTGCTCGACGGAACCGTCCGAGGTAGCCAGTTTTTGGGGTGTTTAGTGTCTGGTGGAAGACGAGCGTCTCCGGAAGCGTGCTATTTCGGACGGTTCTGCCATAGTTACTATGACATCATAAATAGTCATTTAATCCTGCACCACGACACTAAAGGGAGATTGAATTAAGATCTAAATGGGGTCTCAAGAGAATATTAATATTAAGCATAACCAAAAATGTTTACTCTAAATGAATCACAGAGACTAGGAATTCCATAGCCACCTTTGGTCTGCAGTAACCTCCTCCATTGTTTGAGTTGATGGATTTTTCTTATCGACGAATTATATATGTTGTGATGATCTTTTTTTTAAAAAACATATAGTGGCTACAATACACTATCAAATACATTAATATATATGACTCTAGGTTAATTTTATATATAATATTAGTAATTGAAGTGAGTAGTTTAGAAACATATACATGTGGACTTTGTGGTTATTTATATATTTTTCATATTAGCAGATGTTGGGCCTGGTGCAAGCGGTAGAGTTTTACCGTCTGTGACCGGAAGGACTCCGGGTTCGAGTCGCGGTCTCCTTGCATTGCACAGGCGAGGATAAGGCTTGCCACTAACACCCTTCCCTAGAACCCGCATAGAGCGGGAGCTCTCTGCACTGAGTACGTCCTTTTTAGCATATGTTGATAATTTAGATGAGGATTTTGAGGTGATATTTTAGTTTTTATTAGTGATAGAAGTGGCAATTTAGATGCAACTCTAAGAGTAGATTATCTACAATAATGGCATGGTGGATGATTTAGATGCAATTTAGTTGGTTACTTTATATTATGTTTCATGACGATATATATGGGTAATTTATATATAAATTTGGAGAATTATATTATGTTATTTTTTTATGTTTCATGACGATATATATGGGTAATTTATATATAACGCTTAGAGAATAGAATATATCTTATCAATAGTGAATCGTGAGCTGGAGACTTTGTTGGAGGCCTCGTACCAGTGTTTTTTAGCCCCTTTTTGAGCTGGTGCTTTTAGCTAGCCAAAAAGTGGTACAACCAAAATTTAGCAGTGAAAGTGGTACAAGCAAAAGTGTTCTTGTATGATAAAAAAATGCACAAGGTACTTTTTTGGAAAACCGTGAAAGGGAAAACAAGGAGAAAAGATGGCACATGTTTGCGCAGAATTTGCTTATATTGAATCATGGAGTTAGTGGCGGCATCAAGCTTTGGTGCAATTGGTCTTTCCTTTGTTTTCAGAAGCTGTACACGTGCCGAGGCGAATAAGCAAATGTGTGGCGTGGATATTATATGGCGCCAGGGCAATGCAGGCGGAAAGAAATGTTGGAATTATAACAGCACTTCCCGGTTGATTTAGACAGTTAATCCATACAAAGTTACAAACATTGGATAAATCACGATTGTACTTAACCAAATTATATATGCACAACGTACTTCATTAACAGCCCAGATATGCTAAGCTCAACATCAACATTCTTATGCACAACTGTCGTAACTACTATTACTGTGTAGAAGAAAAAGTTCTTCGAAGTTGTTCAACAGTACTAGCTTGATGTAGAGGAAGAGTAACCTGTCTTGATGACTGTCATTAATCCACATTTGTTATTGACGCCGTGCCCCATGGCCTCCCCCCTCTTCCTAGGTTCACAACAAGTCGCGTCACATTAAGTTGGTTAATCTCCTTTTAATTTTCCATTTGAGATTGTATTGAACATGCATGTTTGCTCCACAGTCCTTAAAAACAAGTCATATTAGTTTTGTCTATGTCAACACGTCATATTAGTTTTGTCTAAGTCAATCTATATACTAAGTTTAACCAAATTTATATAAAAATTTACTAATATATATGATACCAAATTAGTATAGTTAGATCAAGCATCAAACATATTTTATGCATGTTTGGTGTCATAAACGTTGATATGGTTCTCAATAAATTTGGTAAAGTTTATGATGGTTTCACTTAAAATAAAACTACTCCCTCCTCTGATAGAGTCAACTTCTAAAATTGTCATAAGTCAAATCTTTTTGAGTTTAACCAAATTTATACAAAAGAGTACTAGCATCTATGACAACAAAAAATACTAGTATAGAAATATATTTTATATTGTATTTAATTCTAAAAAAACTATACTAATTTTGAGGTCAGCACCTATCATCCGCCGAAATTATTGAGCTGCTGGTACCAATATGCTGCTACAGGACTAGTACCCCATTTTTTGTGTGATGCGGGCATGCGGCAAGAGAACACGAAAGAGGGACGTGCAAACGCGAACGCGCCGCGCCGCAACGGATCAGACTTGGCCCATGCGCCGCCGGCCAGCCTGCGGGCATACATACATACCGGACCGGAGGCGGACAGTGCGTTCCCAAGTCAGTCTCGTCCACTGTATATCGAGCCATCATAGCCGTGCACCACGCTCTCAAGGGTACGACGCAGATCTGAAACGGCGACCACCGACCGGGCCAGGCGGGATGGACGGCGCAGCGCATGCTGTACTCGTGGGCAATTATGGCCGGTGCGCCCCGGCCGACGCGAAAAAGACTACGAGGACCCTAACCCAAAGCAGTTGCACGAGGAGAGGAAGAGGCCGCACCTACCCTCAGGCCTAGAGTAGCTTAAAACACACCACTGACCACTTGCTACCATCACTAAACCAATTCGCGAATTCCCCTTCCCCAGACCCCATCGTCGCGTCGAGAGCGGGGGTGTAGTGTATCTGCTTGATCGCCATGGCCGCCGCTCTCAGGTCCCCGGCCTCCGTCAGGGTCGTCTCGGGCCCCTCCGCCGCCTCGGGGCTCGCCAAGGCGCGTCGGCAGGCGCCCAGGGTCGTCGCGGTGGGCGGCGCCGGGGCTTGGCAGCAGCAGCCGCGGGGCCGTGGCGCCGCCGCCGTCGTCCGGGCGTCGCTGTTCTCGCCCAAGCCCGCGGCGGCCAAGGACGCGCGGCCGACCAAGGTGCAGGAGCTGTACGTGTACGAGATCAACGAGCGGGACCGCGAGAGCCCCGCCTACCTCCGCCTCAGCGCCAAGCAGACCGAGAACGCGCTGGGCGACCTCGTCCCCTTCACCAACAAGGTCCGTCAGCTTCGCTTTCGTCTCCCCCTCTCTCTCTCTCTGTTCCCCTCAGCCATCCATCCTCTGACTCCCCACCCCCACCCAGGTGTACAACGGCAGCCTGGACAAGCGGCTTGGGATCACGGCGGGGATCTGCGTGCTGATCCAGCACGTCCCCGACCGCAACGGCGACCGGTACGAGGCCATCCACAGCTTCTACTTCGGCGACCACGGCCACATCTCGGTGCAGGGACCCTACCTGACCTACGAGGAGTCGTACCTGGCGGTCACGGGGGGCTCGGGGGTCTTCGAGGGCGTCTACGGCCAGGTGAAGCTCAACCAGATCGTCTTCCCCTTCAAGATCTTCTACACCTTCTACCTCAAGGGCATCCCGGACCTGCCCAGGGACCTGCTCTGCACGCCCGTCCCGCCGTCACCCACCGTCGAGCCCACCCCCGCCGCCAAGGCCGCCGAGCCGCACGCCAGCATCAGCAACTACACCAACTGATTGAAGAGATGCTACCCTGTCGGCTGTCGGAACTCTCAGAACTCAGGATTTCTGCTCCTATGGCTAGTTTCTTCAGTTCGTGCGTGCGTGGTAGTACCAATAAAACGCAGAGGGATCGATCGAGTTGTGTGTGCTTCACTTGGCTTCTTCTGCTTACAGTTGATTAGCAGCAGCTCGTCTCAAAACCAAACCAAAAAAAATAATGGATTAGTAGAGTTAATTGTTAATCTCGGTAGCCGTTGTGTACTTTGTGTCACCTTCGACAAACAATGAGTTCAATCAGATATTTCTTTGTCGTTGAGTAGCTTGTTGATCCATTGCATTGCAGACGGTGACGGTGATGGTGATGGGCAACTAAGGATGTTGGTGACTCTACGGGATTTGGGAATCTTTGAGCGGTGAGCTGTGATGCAACTGCAGGAGCCACCAATGCTGGTGCTCTATAAATGCACAGCGAGCTAAGGTGGTTGCATTGTTGGGGTTGATTGTGTGTCCAGACTGGACTGCTATAACGGCCCCGTGCACTTAGCTGTACCGTTGGCTGATTTATTGTTAGAGAAAAATACTGTTCCAGCTGAAAAAATAAGTTAAAAAATATGGATTATAAGACAAACGAATAAGGCCAACGGTAGGATCATCTAGGAGTAGATCTAGCGGGTGAAACCTTTCTATCTGAGATAGAACACATAGATATATCCTAGAACATGAATTAGAGAGAGGATGTGTTACCGACCATCAGCGGGCTTATGGAGGAGCTGACCATGGCGTCGGTGAAGAAGGCGTTGTCGAGTTGGGGTCGATGGAGAGGGGCGACGGCGTCCAGGTGGTGGCGAGTCAAGGAGGATGGTGGCGGCGCTTCCCGCCGCCGCTGCGCTTCTTTATATCGGATTAGGGTTCTGTCGGTAGGGTACACTACTACAAAAAAATGTTTTTAGCAACGGGATAAATTTTTTATAGGGGCGGCTGGTGATGGAGCCGCCCCCACAGTGGGCGTGCTCGGGACCCACGAGACCAGCCGCCCCTATAAATGGAACAGTAGGGACGGCTGGTGATACGAGCCGCCCCTACAAATGGGTCGATTTGTAGGGGCAGCTCACTCACCAGCCGCTCCCGGTGTTGCTATTTGTAGGGGCGGCTCAATCACCAGCCGCCCCTACAAATGACCCACGTATAAAAAACTGCAGCCCCTTCTTTCTCCTCGAGTCACTCACTCCAACCCGTAAGAAAAGGTGGGGAGGCCTTGGGCACCTTCCAAAAATTGCTCTACTAAGGGGAAAGGTTTTGGTCTCAAATCCTTTGGTGGAGAGGTTGTAGAAGATAAGAAAATGTTATTCCATATTTTTTTGAAGTTTTAATGGTTGGTTAGTGTGTAATTAGAGTTTTGCTTTTCTCTCTCTTTTATGGTGCTTGAGCTACTTATGAAGCAAATTAGACCCAAGTTTTTAATGTAATAGGGTAAATTAGGTAGGGGAACAAGATCATACCCTTATTTGGTCCATGTTTCTTGATTTTAATGAACAATTAGTTAGTTTTATGGATGTTTCATATGCATGTAGATCTAGATCTAGGGTTTGATTTTTTATTAATTTTGTTTTTGTAAATTTATGTTTGATGAAATTGGACTAGGGTTTGCATGAAAGATATTGGGTAAAATATAATTGTTGCTAATTGTTGTCTTTAAATTTGTTTATTGTAATCAACAAATATATATTTTAATTATTTATGGATAAATGGGCCATTAATTAATTTTCCTCTACCATGGTGTGTTTGTATGCTTCATGTAATTATATTTGATTTATATTCATATATATCTGAAGTATATACAATTATTCTTAAGTAATTATTAATTTGATTCATTTATATATATATATATGAATAAGTAGTCATTTAATGTTTGTTTTGTTGTTGTTGTAAAAGATGGAGTACATGAACTCTTGGATGTATGGTTGGTTAAGGTTCAAGGCAGGTTTTCGTGAAGAGGTGGATAAATTTATTGAAGCCGCAGAGAAGCATGCAACGATGTTGACAGAGAATAAGGATACAATTATTTGTCCCTGTAAAGATTGCAAGAACCGTATGGCATGGACAGATGTGACTATCATCAGATCACATTTGATTATGCGAGGATTTGTTGAGGACTACACAGTGTGGATTCATCATGGTGAAACGGTTATTGTTAACGACGATGATGAGGAGGAATATGACGATGAAACCCTAGAATCCCTATCCCAATATTCAGCAAAGCTTGATGCACGAATGGATCCTGAGTTTGGCAATGAACAAGGTGGTGATGCTGGTGGTTGGGATGGTAACGACGAATGTGGTGCCAATAATGATGGTGGAGCACGTGTCGGGGATGAAGATGATTTGGAGGACATGATTCAAGCCCTTGGACAAGAGATTTTACTAAAGAGCCCGAAAGGTCTAGAAAATTTGAAAAAGAGTGAAAAAAGCATCGAAGGAGACTGTGTATGGTGTTGAAAAGGGTTGTCCGACACATTGGACATTGCTACGTTTTGTGCTTGAGCTACTCATCCCGAAGGCTAAGTATGGCTGGTCAGATTGTAGTTTCAATGATCTATTGCGTCTCCTGTCATGGGTGCTGCTACAACCAAACTCAGTTCCCGCCAATACATACCAAGAGAAGAAGGTCATAAGTCCATTGACAATGGGGGTTGAAAAATCCATGCATGCCCCAACCACTATATCTTTTTTCATGGTGAAACGTTCAAGTCACTGGATAAATGTCCCCGGTGTGGGGCCAGCCGGTACAAGAACAATGACCTTTACGGTGGGGACGAAGCCTCCACGGGGAAAAAGAGGAATAAGAATGGTACAAAAAAGGTGGTACAAGAATCTCAGCCCCTAGAGGACACTCCATTAGGCAACAATGCAAAGCAGAAAAGAATTCCTGCCTTGATAATGTGGTACCTACCAGTGACCGACCGCTTGAGACGTATCTTCCTAAACCCTAAAGAAGCCGCACTCATGACATGGTGGGATGATGAGCGCAAGGTGGATGATGTTAAGATTGCACACCCGGCTGATTGTAGTCTGTGGCAAAGGATTGATGAGAAGCACAAAGAATTCAGCAATGACCCAAGGAATGTACGGTTTGGCTTGAGCATCGATGGAATGAATCCCTTCAATGAGAGGATGAGCGACCACAGCACTTGGCCAGTGATCTTGACCATGTACAACATCCCAATGTGGTTGTGTCAGAAGAGAAAGTACCTTCTCCTCACTATTCTTATTTCTGTCCCTAAACAACCAAGCATTGATATAGACGTGTTCCTCGAGCCTTTGATGCAAGAAATGGAGAGGCTATGGAGGCATGGGGAGCCGATATACGATGCGTTCTGAAAGAAGGACTTCATATGTAGAGCAATAATATTTGTTACTACCAATGATTATCCCGCGCTGTTTGCTTTGTTCAGACAGATCAAAGGGAAGACGGGATGCTTGGTTTGCTTGGATGGTACTATATGGGTGTTCCTAGATACAACCAAGAATATAGTTTACCTAAGGAACTGGTGCTTCTTAGAGACAAGTCACAAGTACCGCAACAAATTATTCTTTAGATTTTATGACAACACCCTGAAGATTGAACCCCCTCTAGAGAGACGTCATAACGGAGAACACGTGTACAGAATGGTGAAAAACATACGCGTCATCTATGGAAAGAAGAATCTAGATGGGACGAACAGAGATAGACGCACACCTCCTATCGAAGGCGTACCTTTCAAGAAAAAATCAATCTTCTTTCAGTATCTGTCTTATTGGCCAGACTTGGAGGTCCTCCATGCCATTGATGCTATGCACATGCAGAAGGATGTCTTTGAGAGTCTCATTGCTACCTTGATGGGCACAGGCAAGTCAAAGGATGGTCTGAAATCACGAGAAGACATGGTGCAGCTAAACATGATGCCACAACTTCACCCGGTAGCTGAGGCTAATGGAAAATACACTCTGTCCGCGGCGTGCTTCAACCTAACACCAGAAGAGAAGAGAGCTATATGCACTTTCCTGAGGGGGGTCAAAGTCCCGAATGGGTTTTCAGCGAATGTGAAGAAGCTAGTGTCGATGAAGGACTTGTCAATAACACATTGCAAGGCTCACGATTGTCATATGATGTTGATAGTGTTTCTACCTATTACAATCATGGCTATAAAGCTAGAGTTCTTGAAAATGGCCATCACCCGGATGTGCTACTTCTTTTCGAAGATCTCACAGAAGATGATTGGCAAGCAAGAGCTGAGTGACCTACATGAATTTGTGGTGGAGACACAAAACCAACTAGAGATGTGTTTACCTCCTACTTTTTTTGATATAATGCCACATCTCATGATTCGCATTGTTCATCAGATACAGGCGCTGGGCCCTTGCTACTTGCATGAAATGTGGTCCTACGAGTGGTTTATGTTGGTTCTAAGTCGATACATGCATAATCGAGCATACCCAGAGGGCTCCATGATAGAGGGTTATAGTACTAAAGAAGTCGTCGAGTGCTGCTAAGAGTACCTAAAAGTATAGAAAGGGATTGATAAACCTGATTCTCGTCATAAGGGTAGGCTGGCTGGGAAGGGCACCAGTGGTAGAAAAGTGTTCATTGACCATGATTACAAAGAGGTGAGTCGAGCGCATTACAGTGTCTTGCAGAGTACACAACTGATGCAACCGTACATTGATGAACACTTGGCTATCATTATGGCGGAGAGAAATGGTCGTTTAGATGATTGAGTCATGAAACAGCACAAGAAACAACTAACTACATGGTTGAAGGACCAAAACATATCGCCTAGAGAAACCATAGACTCTATTACCATCAGTAGGTTGGCGGAGGGGCCATCGAGACAAGTGACATTGTGGAAAGCTTATGACATCAATGGGTATACGTACTATACCCACACAAAGGATAGTAAATGTGTGAACCAAAATAGCGGCGTTCAAATAGAAGCTCTCGATGGAGTGGGGTGAAAGATCCAATACTTTGGCATCAT